TCTTGTCAGGTAGGCAGTTACTCTCTCTTAGATTGGAATTCTGATTGGAATTTGTCAAAATTTTAGGCGTCCAAGTGTTCCACTAAGTTCGCCGAGAGTCCTCTGTAAAATGTTTGGTCATTCCAGGGTTTTTTCAAAATTTTAAATGCTCATTCAAAATTTACTTAAACAATGTTTGATACTTAAAAACACAGATTTCAGATATTCGACAGGAGAATATGTCAAGGAAAAATTTCAATAGCCTTGAGGAACATTTTTACTCGAGCCAATTTTTCCTTTCGAACGGCTGGCAAATTCATATAAGTATTTATTGAAATCATACAAAACTTTGTATGGATCTTCAAAATTAGATTGTTTTCCGAAGCATTCGACAAAATTTCCCAATATACTAAATAACGACGCTGAACCTGCAAAAACGCTTATCTTGTTTGCGGTATTTAAAAAACTCCGAATCTATTCTATTTAATTCTATTATATTTTAATTTATTTTATGCCCAAACTATGTGACCGCGTATCAAGGTGTTTGACCTTAGAGTATTCCCATTACACTTTAATACATTACACTTTTTCAAATTAGAACAAAAAAATTACGGCATTGCGTTGGGTATATGCTTGCATTAATAAAATAAAGTGAGTCGAGAAGTCTGCAACATTGCAAAACAAGGTAAGCGTTTCTGTAATTTCACCGTCGATATTTCCCATTTTCATCTCATATGCATTTCATCATCGATGCCCCCCCTTCCCCCTCCATCAGAAAGGAGCATCATGAAGGTACCGACCCAGTTTAGTTGGCGGTTCTTTATTTATTCTGTACGTTTAATTCGGCAGCCCTGCAAGTACTCTTCTCATCCTTTGCCCAACCTTTCTTATCGACACCTTAAATCTTCGCTGATTCTCTCAAACAACTGCAAAACTACCACAGCGCAAAGTGAATCGCCAAGTCTCCTCATGCGGCGCACACCTAAAGCCTCTCGGACGAGAAGGGGTATCTCCATTATAACGTGAACCCTGTTGTGTATATAACTCCTTGTCCCCCAGGGCTCATACGGGAGTGGAGATGCTTCCTTTCGTCAGAGGAACAACGAATTAAAGTTTCGCGAAAGCGGCCTGCGTCCGACTCCAGTTTACCTCTGGTTTCAATCTGGTCAATCAAATAATCGATACATCGATTCGACGTGGATTCCTCGCAAATGCCTTCCGCACAACGGAAGATTGCGAATGTTGAGGATCGTAAATCGACTCAGTTTCGAGGCCGTTCATCGATATATCAGCCATTTGAACATTTTAAATCTACTTGACGTGCATCGAATCGGTTTCGGACTTAAACGAACTTTTTCACGGGACTCGTGGAATGGTTAATTCATGGAATGAATTGCATTTAAATGGGACGTCTCAAGCGTTTCACAGCATGTGTGTAGTTGGTCTGTTTGATCTGAGGACCGCTCATTAACTGGATTACGTTTTGAAATAAGGAACCACTATTTTTGACCCATTTTAGAAACAACATGCCATTATTGGTTGTGCCATAGGTTTCCCTACGCAGATCAGATATGTGATTTTATGGGAGAGCCAGAGATAGTGGTTTCTTATCGCAAAATGTAATCCAATTCTTATGTTGTGACTTGCACGTCGCTGATGAAAGTTTAAGAACCCTGAGCTCGATCGCGGTGTTTCAAACTTTATGTGGCTACTTTATTTTAGCAAAGGAAAATTGACCATAAATACTATCTGCGATTTTTGGAGATACTATTTTAAAGCGAAGTCAAAAAATACAAAAAACAAAAAAAAAACGAAAGTTCCATAAAAATGAAAATTAGTTGGAAGTATTTGACCAAAATCAGCCTATTTACAAATCGCGTTGCCTGATTTTACCCCATGTTTCGATTTTTAAGAGGAAACTGATAAATATAACGGCTTGAAACCTATACTGTGAATTTTTCCTATGTTATAAAGCATATAATAATGTATATTATCTCAAGTCAGAATGCTGCTTAATTTTTTGTTGAAAAAATACAACCAGAGAAGAATAGCAACGTCTAATACAGTTAGACTAGTTCCGATTAACTTCTTCCATTTCGTCGTGTAACTTTATCTTAATGTTGCCAAATTCCTCCTCGAAAATTGCATGTCATGAGCATTTGTGACTGAAATTTTCTCTGATTTTCCCTCAGAATTCATACGAAAATACAAAAAAATGTTGGAAAGATTTCGCAAAGGTACATTTTCGTATTATAAATTAATCTGTTGAACCAATTTGGCAACGTTGGAACAGAGTTACGTCCGTTCGTCCGGGAGGCGATGATATTTCTTCTAAGAAATCAAGTACGTTGTAATAAATGCGAAGTTACGATCATACTCGGATGAAGCCTTACCGCAACCCCTCCCCCCTCCCCTCCCAGCAAATATACCATTATAATTCTCGTTGCTCATGCGAAGAACCTTAACAGGAATTCCTAGACCATACCTAGAGGCGCGACATATTTTCAATTCTGGATAATGCCCAGGAAGCTTGAATTCTCAAACTTTCGGTTTGATTCAACCACGTACCCTAGCGCACTGCAGAATCAGACAGGCCTGTGAATAATTAGACGCAGCGTTGCCACACTCCCGCGGTTCTCTCCGAACCCCATCGTGAGAGCAGACGTAATCCAGGGGACTCGGAAGGAAAAGCGGCAACGCTCGACAGTGCCTGAGTGGTAGGCAGAAAGAACTCTCCTGCTCACTGCAGAAGGCTCGGGCGCTAAGTGCTTGATTCTTCCTCGTTATTCCATCAATAAAGGTGCCGGGGGGATTCAGGCCGAGGAGGCTGAAAGCAGAAAGTCCTTCAGCCCCCCCTCCCCGCCCTCCTGATCCGGGAACAAGTACAAGTTAAGCTTTCGCCAAGCGTACAGATCAAAAATAACTTGACGAATCCCGGTTGTTTTTTGCGAGACTGTCGTAAGGGCGCGAGACATCAAGTGCCGCGTTGGATCTGTTGCCAAATCGAGTGTTTCTCCATCCGACAATTCAGTGTCTTAGGGCCGTTCCTGTGCCACGTGCCCCATTTTGGACGATCTTGTGATCCTACCCTCCCCCTTCTATGACATCCATAAGGCATTCTCTCGCTCACTTTTCTTTTTGAATTACGTAAGACTGATTTGCTCTCTTCGACTTTTTTAAGCAAATAACCTAGGAAGCCTGACGAACGGCTGAAAAAATAATTTTAATCGGAAAACACCCCCATTTCCTTTAATAGGACGCTTACACGCAAAAAAAAAGCACAATCCCAACTATACTCCTAGCTGATTTTGGCTATAGATATTAGAGTAGTTGCACAAGCCAGAGGTATGGTTAAGTCAGCTAAAAGTGTGGTTGGATCAACCCTACCTCTAGCAGCAGGCTGATTGTTGAAATCGGTAGACAAGGTGATAGACAAATAAGACATAGGGAGTATGGAGCTAGCCTATTGGTTGACATGGGCGGTTCTTATTTTAGACGAAGGGGGTAAATGAAGGACTAAAGGGTCTCCGTGGATTGCCGGTAGATAGTCTATTACCTATACTTTCTTTGTTCGTTGCAACCACCCACCTCTACCAATAGGACCCCTCCAAATCCCCTTTGTCTTCTTTGACGCTAGCTTTGTCTATCAATTTCAACAATCAGCCCGCTGGTGCCCTCGCAATGGGCCTGTTGCAAACTTTTGCTAGAGCAAAAATAAGAGTTGTTTCTTATAGATAATGCCTCAAAAATCACGATGAGCGCATCGGCAAAGTCTGAAATGCACTCATAACTTCACAATCTGCGTAAGAAATTTGCGTTTTTTTAAGCTTCCCGCTTCAAAAACGATACTACGGCACAGGTGAACATTTTGTTAGAGGAGTCGCTCCGTCGTCGGCGATATTCATCATGATGGCCGACGCTTGCGCGCAGTTCCGCGTGTAATTCGAGGAGAGTTCAAGGTCAATCAATTCGGGCGTGGAAAATATGAACGTTAACACGCCGATTGTTATCTGGTCTAATTCAGTTCAGGTGTTATCTCGTCCCATCACACGTGTTTTGGCGGATTGACGTCGGCCATGATGAGTATTGCCGACGATGGAACGACTCCTCTTACAAAATGTTCACCTGTGCCGTAGTATCGTTTTTGAAGCGGGAAGCTCAAAAAACCGCAAATTTCTTACGCAGGCTGTGAAGTTATGAGTGCATTTCAGACTTTGCCGTTGCGCTCATCGTAATTTTTGAGGCATTGTCTATAAGAAACAACTCTTATTTTTACTCTAGCAAAAGTTTGCAACAGGCCCATTAGCATACAGGTGGTTGGATTAACTTTACCGCTGGCTGGTGCCTTTGCAGTTCTAGTTAGTATTACTACTCTTCCAGCAGAAAATTTTCGAAATTTTAAAGCATCTAATATGCATAGTTTGAGTCAATTTTGTAATAATTAACGAATAGAAATAGTAGAAATAAAAATTTTAATAGGAATACCCAATTCTCAATAATTACCAAATATAAGCGTCCTTTCTCCCTATTTCCCCCGCTCTTTCCTTCTCTCTTTCTTCCCTCTTCCTCCTTTTTTTCGGGCGAATGATGAGCGTACTTTACCCCTTGGACCCGCCTATACCGTGTACAGCCGTGTTAGCCAGCAAGTGCGGTTTCCATTGCCGGAGTTTTCGGCTTCGAGTCACGACTAATTTCTATTGAACTCGATCTATTTGACAACATGTTCAGTAGCGTGCAAGTTTTCGATTGCTACATTCAATCGCCTTTTACCCGCTCCGTACCCCTCAGAGACTTCTTGAGTCAACCAACACATGTGCACATGCCGAGTCCTCCGTTTCTCCATTCCTTCACTAATCGGTGCCCCTCAGACGGAAGCGCGTAACTCAATTTCCACTTGATCCCTGTTTTACATATGAATCCATGCTCTCTGGGGCTCATGCGAGAATCGAGAGACGCCCTTACGTCAGAGGAGCGACGTAATTCCGCCTCTTCTTCTGATCCACTGCCTTCGTTTGTTGCAGACTCCTCGAGGTCGACTGGCTCAAAAATATGTGGCGACCGGACTCGTTCTTCAAGAATGCCAAGGCCGTCACTTTCCAGACCATGACCATACCCAACCACTATGTCTGGCTCTACAAAGATAAGACTATCCTCTACATGGTCAAGTAAGTATCCCCGTGATTTTCCTTCATTTCATTTACATTCTCTTTGAAAGAGTATACTCCAGATTATAATATTCATTCAAAAAGATGGTGTCCTTTGAAGTTAGAAAAGGTATATGGCCTCCCAAGTGGTTGTCTTTTTTGGGGGAACGCATGCGACGACCACGAAACGAATTTCACCCCAACGCCTGGATGCAACTATTCCAGCTCTACGGATGTCTGTGTTGCATGCGCACGGTTTTGAAGGCGTTTTGAATCCCCACGGGCGCTCACTAATCCACCCGCGGCGCGACGCGACGGCAGGCTGCGCTGGGAAGAATTCAAAATGACAGAGTGTCTTCAATTCTCACTACGAAGATATTTCTCGGGCACGAATAGTTGCGCTACAAAGCATGCTCAGCACACTGAAAAAAGTATTCTTTGAATGACAGTGAATCTCCAACAGACTCTGTTAGCAAAGACTATCACCCTAACCGCACTCACCAAAAGTATGGTTAATGTTACCCGATGTCGGGTTATCTTTGCTCTACTGTATCTCTGCATCAAAAATCAAGTAGACTTATAATAGAATTAACCATACTTCTAGTAATATTTGCCGTACTTGTTTTTCAATGTAGGATATCATCGAGGTTTGGTTAAAATGAAACCTCTTATTTCGGATCTCCGTGACACTAAGAACAATATTCGTGTTCTTATGTTACTTCCGGTTAATACAGGAAATGGAACACGACCAACCTAAATTTTGTGTTGATGTAGGTACAGATTGCGTAAAATCTAGCAAAGAAAAACAATGGAAAAACTGGGAAGCTTATCAGACTTAACCGAAAGTTTGGCTGTCTTTTTGTTATTTTCTCTTTCAAAGTAGAATTTTTGGCTTGAGTCTAGAGGGCGATATGGTAATGTAACATTTACAATTTTTTTTTACATGCTTACATAACTGTAAGCATTTCTCAATGCCAATCGCGTAAAATTAATAACCCTATAGTCCTTTCATCAACCTAGTTCTCAAGATAAAATTTGTATCGAAGCCTTGTCTCAATTTGAGCATTCATCTCAGCAATATGCCGGTGAAATCCCCAGATTCCTCGGAAAAGGGTAAAAAATGCCTTTTGTGGAAAAAAGCTTTGGACCCGAAAGACGAAATTACACGATGTGTAGACATATCGTTCGTTTCAGGTTTAGATACCATTAGCTCTGGATTGTCCGAAGTAGCGGCTCCTATATATACCGAAACATACGACCGTAAATCCTGAACTAAAGCTGGAACTGGGCAGTGGATTCATTTTCTCGGCAGAAGATGGGAGCTATTTAGCCCCCCAAACGTCCCAATTTTAATTAATGTGGTTTTTTTTAGCCTTGATCCTTTTATTTTTAGTTCATTGTATATGAAAATCGGTCTACGAAAATGATATTTATGACTAGATAAATAATTGATAAAGTTGTCAAAAAAAAAAAGTTAAAAAACCAGCACTTGCGGAGAATATTTGTCTCTCAATGATTACTTTGGCTCAAAAGGCCTTTCGATTTTTAGCCAAAAAGAGACTAGAGACAAGCTGGCCGACAGCAGAGACACGTAAAAATGTAAGAAGGAGCCAAGAAGCTAACACAGTAAAATGAAGCCTCTCCTAGTGTCGTCTCATAAAGCTGTTTATAACAAACTGCTCTTGCAGGCGGTAAACGAAAAGCAGTCCGCTCATCTAATTGGGTCCGAAGTTGGCAAATTTCCGAAATATGAAATTACTCTCTCCGTCTATGGTGTTCTCCTTACAGAGAGAATTAAGGTGTGTGAAACCCAATTTTGATGTGGCATAGCTTAATGTGTCTGAATCACAAGTCGTCTGAAAATTAATTCACAAATATTGCAAAACTTGCACAAGTAGAGTGGACCAGAGAAACATGGATGGATTTGTGACAAGGAACCATCAAAATGAGGAAGAGAATAGAAACTGAAATTCAGAAATCTGTCGGTAGAATATTCCCAACAGTCTTTCGAACTATTCATTCTTTGCAGAGGTTTGTGGTATCAAGACCGCGAATATTTTTTGAAATTTCAAAGAATTTCACAAAAACTGAATTTCATCCCTCTTCATCACCACAGTTATTCGTCACTCTTGAGCAAGTTTTTTTTTATCTTTTTTTCTTCTTTTTCCTCTTAACTATTTAACTTAGACATACATAAAAACTGCTTGTTTTTTAATTGTTTTACCTACCTAAGATTTTGACGTTTCAAAATACAGTTCTGAAACTTTACTATCTATACCCAATAAATATCAGAGAAATTAAATTCGAAATTTTCAATCAAGAGCTCTCTTGTTCTAGTTAAGTCTCTGACCTACAATAATTTTGACTAGATCGAAGTAAGTGAGCTCCGAAAGGTTTCAAACTACGAACTCAGCTCGCATACCTAGAAAATTCCTGAGTAAAATTAAAGAAATTCAGAAATTGAACTGGAATAAATTTTATGAAATTTTAATATCCTTGATCAAGACCCAAGATACCTTATTCCTCCTCGTAAAACTATATCCTTTCAATCCCATTAATTTAAAAAGATGGACCTAGACATGGTCCCAACTACTCGTACTTTTATGATTCCTCCCTGAAATGCTACGTAGAGTACGATTTATACCAGCGAGAAGTTCGGTATGTTTAACGCCTGATGCAGATTTCGATGGCCGAAGTATAAATCGACGTATCTTTATTTCTGTGTTTCACAATTTCTGCTCCCACTTCATTTTTTGAAAGAAAAACAAGCTAACTTTAAAGCTTAATATTTTTACAGAATATTCTACCGACAGAAAAGAAAAATCAAGGAAGTTTTAAAGAATTTACATTGACTGTTTTTCGGAAGGAAGAGTAAAATATGACAGGAAGTCTATAACGTCTATAACGAACGGAAATACGTGGTTTTGCACTTTGATAATCGATATTAGTATTTATAATTAATATTAGTTGAATGTCAAGAATATATATGACGTCATTTCATTTCATTCTAGTATTGAGAGTACTTGTTAATATCTCGCTCAGGAATTGCTTCCCGTAGGTATGTATTTTCAGTCGATTGAATCGTTCTCTACGCAGAAGTTTGAAATGGGGCTTTTTAAGGTAATTCTTCAATCTAAACTAGAATCCCTTTATAGAGAGAGTTGAGACAACGCGGCTTATGGATATCCTAAACGGCAATAAAGATTATACAAATCGGACGTTTTTTGTAATCTTTGATCAACCCACTCCCAAATTCCTATCTCCGGTTCCGTCTCTCATTCTATTTGTTCTTTCCAGTACCTACCTCCTATTCTCCGGTCCATTTCAGTTCATGATTTTTGCAATCGGTGAAAATGTAATCTTTACTCCCGTTTGTGACATTGTAGTAAAATACGGGAACCAATCAGAGATGGATTCGCATTGTCTTTACTCTCAGTATAAAGGGACTCTAATCCAAGCCTTGTCTAGAGGGCTATCGCATGAATTTCACAAAAATCTGACAACTCGGATTCAAGGAGATCCGACTTGATTACGCGAATTTCTTGCCGCCCGACAAGAGCCTTACTTCCCGGCGCGGATCCGAGCCACGCGTCACGCGCCGGAAACTGGTGCTCGGCCGGAAATAGCGAGTTATGCTCAGGAAGGAGCTTGTTTTCCAGTTCTCGGGACAATTAGCCGCGGCGCCGAAATTAAACGACGCATTTCCACGTCACATAGATCGACTCCTTTGAGAGCAGAACTTGGCTAGTTGGCGCTTTATTAAGTTTCAGCCAAGTTTGTCCGGGCGGAATTTTGAGAATCTCCCGGACTGTTTACCAGTCCGAAATCTCCAAAGGATTTACAGCGTTGCTCCGTCGGGCGCATGTTAAAGTATCTTATCGGGAAATTCGTCGTTATCCGGAACTACACTTCAACATCCTGAAATTTCCCCTCGTAAATGGATTGTACTCGTTAGTGGTTCGATGTGGTTTTTGATTCAAAACATTACCTATTAACGTGGATAGTAGAGAAAACCAGGAAACAGTGGATACAAGGCTTTTATAAATAAAAATAAAAATACATGCAGAGCCGGATTTACCTGCTTTCCGCCCATGGGCCGCCTGTATTTTGCCGTCGCCTTATTCTCATTCGTTTTAAAGCATCAATAAAAACCATCAAGTGAACGTGCAGCGGGGAGTGGTGCAAAAGACGCGTTTACTTGTGTTGGACACATTTTTTGCGAAGCCCCGTCAACGTTACTAGCAAAAGTTCACGGAATTTTGCGCGAAAGTTAAGTTCCATAAACCTATGTCTGTGTGGACAAGGCCCACCGTTTATAAGAAATGAGCGAAAAAAGTATGAAAGAACAAACCGACCGCACTGCGTTTGGCGCAATGCGTGAAGTATTCATGCAGTCTTGTAGGCGCTATGCGTTTCACACCGACTGCTGCTGAGCGCACTGTATTTGACGCAATGCGTGAAGCAATTGAAGTATTCGTACAGTCTTGTAGGCGCTAATATGTGTTACATGCCGAGGTCGACCGCCGTGTTGAGGGCTTCTCCTTTTCATCTCAAGTCCTCGTCATCATTGCTGTCTGCGCCACGCCGTTCCAGGCCAAATTGCGTGTTTGGTTCCTCTCTTTACTCGACTAATTAAAGTCTCTTATATCACCGAAAGACGACAACATTATAAACAGAGACAAATTATAAATTACTATACTTCCAGGAAGTGGAGATTTTGTCGCCTTTTCGTTTTTTTTTTTTTTTTCAACACAGAAAAATTCGTCAAAGGGCGGCATACTTCTATATTGTTCTTTTGCCGCTCAAATCGTGATTAACGAGGGGCAGATACCAACCCGAAAAGTCTCAGACATTTTTATGTTTGTTTAGCCTTGTTAACCCATTGTTCCCATTTCCTTGTGTGTGTGTTTCATATGTTCATAACTTCATACACTAGATCCTTACACCGCAATTTTTGCATTAGGCATCAGGAAGTAAAGCTTGTATCAGCATTGTACAAGCTTGTAGCAAACAATTTCGAT